TCTTTCACGATATCCGGAGTTCGTCAAGAGCCCAACGGCTCTCCTCTGATGATCGTGAATGCAAAACACCTACAGATCCTAAAACTCGACGCTCTCCATGAAACCTGGTTTCTCCTCGCCGGTTTTGGACCCGCGCCGCTCCTTCACCTCGTTGCGTTATCGCTGTCCAATCTCCGAGTCCCCTATGTGGAGATGTTTTTCTCCTTCCTGACACAGTGTCCCCGCCTCGAATCTCCATAACCCTGGTCTACGCCACCCTAATCCCATCCCTTCCCACATCGGTTCATCCCTGCATGATACCGCTCTTGCGAGATCTCACTGCTCCACGGGGATTCATCCAGTTGTTCGCATGAGATCGCCCACTCAGGGCAGTGACGTTCGTGGTGGTACATGGGAAGTCCGGGAAACTCTTGCCCTTCCTCATGGGCACGCCCGCGTCCCTTCGATCTCTTGCCATCCCACAGGCGGATTTAACTCGCGACTTTATAGGTGCCCTCGCCTCCATTTGTGGGAGCTGACGATCGGGTTGTGGGAGGGAGACAGATACATGTTCTCTGACACCGTTAGGTACGGACTGCCCCGTCGGGAGGACGCGCGCTGTCCCGAGCTCTACGACGCCGACGCTTTCAATGATCTCCCCACCGAGGAGGTTTCCGATGCGGACGAAGCCGAGGACGAGCTTTCCATTGTTGTCGTCAAAGAATGGGGGCTACCAGAGGGGCAGCGCACCACCCCGCTCCAGGTATAAACCGTCTTCCAATCCTGGGCCTGCCATCACTTACCCTACGTATCGCACGCAGACTGTCCTAAACTGGATTTGCACCGGGCTGACTTCTCTCCCCCCCGATATTAGGGTCCTCCGGATGCGCAGCGAATCCCCCCTAGGTATCCCATATCTCTCGTTGGAACAGTGTCAGCAGGCGACCATGACGCTCAGTCGGCTCTATCCGTTTTTGCGCGAAGTGCAAATTGGGAAGGTTCACCATAGGTATCAACGAGCGAGCGCGTCGTGGAAATAGGAGGGGAGGAAGTCGTACTTGCGAGTAAATACTCGACTCTGACATTTGGGCGTGTAATCCAAAGGACTTTTTTTGTTGGGCTGTTGCCTTAAACTGGCACTTGGCTTTGTGATCCAACGCTCATCCAGTCTGAGACCGACTCGGTGGCGGCAGAAGAGGCCCGTTCGACTCGGGCTCGAGCCTTCGGAATGGCGTATGCGCGTTTTATTTCTTTGCGTCCATCGTTGCTCGCGCGGTTGGCGAGCCTCCTTCAAGTTGTTCCTTCCAACTCGCGCATTCTTGGGGACGCTTTCGCAGGACCGAAGTACTGCCTGGCCTTCGAACCGAGGCCCAATCAAATCTCGAATTCATTACTAGCTCCGGTCCACTTCCCACCTGGTTTATGCAAGACATAATCGAGTTAATACCGACTCGGTGGCGGACGGTATGCATTCGCCTTTAGATCGCAGGCATGTTTTCTAGCATTGCTGCCCGGAAGTTGCTCGTCCGATTCGGGGCTGAGTCTTTGGGCATGCACGTTTTTGGTCTCGCGTCCATTATTCTTCGCGCAGTTGGAAAGTTTCCTTTCCCCTTGCAACTCTCACCCCGCCCATTTTCCAGAACGCAAGCACTGCGCCAGAACGGGGTGTGAATTGGGATTACTACCATCCATTTATTCAGGGCATCATATGGTGGACTGGTACCGTCTTGGTGGTGGACGGCCCGTATCTGCTTCCGTTATTTTGGCGCTGACTGTGTATGCAGAGGGTGCCCGTTCGAGTCGGTCCCGAGTCATTACGCTCGGTCGTGCTATGTACTTATATTTTCTTCTCCCTTCCGATTTTCACGGAGTTGTCGCAAAGTTGTCGAGTCTCTTTCAACTGTCACTGCCACTGCGGACGTACTACGAATGGTATGCGGAATGTCAGCGTATCCACATATTTTTGTTGAACATCCAACGCCGCTCGTTAACCGAATCCTTCAAACGTCAGTTGTAATACACGGCGGTTGGATTCGGTGTCCGAGTTATGGGTGTGGCAGAAAATATTTGTCCCTCCCCGTTTTATATTATCCGCGTCCAACATTGGCCCAACCATTAATAGTAAGGAAGAACAGCATAAATTGAAGCTTTGAGGCCGCTGCCAACCGAAACACATGTGGGAAACGCGCCGTAACCAGGGGGCGGATCATCCTAGATCAACCAGCGATCATCCCGACGCGTGTCGAAAGCATGCTCATCATGATCCTCACGTTGAGTCTGACCGCCGTCGATCAGAACTCACATATGATTTGTCTCGCAATTGTCTCCACAGGTCTCCACCTACATATGTAAGGGCCGCACCTCGGAGCTCACTCGTTTTTGCTTCCACCTTCCCCACATCGCGACAAATGGACCTTGCGACCTACGATGTCCCACCAACTACGCACGAAATCGGACACACCAGCCGCCAGCGCCTCGTGCGCTCCATGCGCAAAGTCAGCGCAGTCCTGGGCGAAACACCACTGGTAGAAACGCGAACGGGCCAGTTCCTCGAGCCAGCCGCCGCCCAGAAACACGGGTTTTTCCACCACGCCTCCGCGTCGCTCTCCACACTCTCCCTGCCATTCCAGAAACCAGAACCACCAGCTGCGGCCCATGAGGAGCGCCCCACGCTCTTCGTGCGCCTCCCGCAAAAATTCGAGCCACTGCCCTCGGTGCTGTCCCCCGGGTTCAGCCCGACGCTGATGTCGCCGATGACACCTACCGTGGAGGATGCGTCCGCCGTGCGCCGCCAGCGCATGGCCAAGGTCACGCGAACGCTCGGCGAGACTATCCCGCCCGCGCTCATCCTCTCCAACCCTCAAATAAAGCGCCGCCGACGCGCCAGCACGCTGATCATCCCCGAGTCTGCCCGCGAGCAGCAGATCTTCGCTGCGTTGTCCGTGAGCGGGAGCAGCGGGGAGGCAGCGCGCAGGGTCAGCGGACTAACGCGCGCCAGCTCGTTCGTGCTCGTCCGGCCAGACACGCCGCCGGCAGAGACGACGGCGTGGTGGGAGGCGGAGGACGCGGTGTCGCCGATCGGCGACGTGCACACGCACCCGATCGCGGGGTACTCCCCCGACACAATGCTCGCGCCCGCAGAGTGGCTGCGCCCCGTATCGCGAGCGCCGTCCCCCGCCCCGTCCATCACCCGTACCATCATCCCCGACGCCGACTCGCCGCCATTCGCCCCGCCATGTAGCCGAGTCGTACGCGCACGCGCCGGCGCCGTTACCGACTCCACCATACACGCACTTTCTTCAACGGGTGGGGAGATGCAGCGCCGCGAGGAAGAGTGGACGGGCGAGTGGCGCGGCAAGGTTGGGAATATGGCGACGTCGTGCGCGGCCTGCGTGGGCTGAGGGTCAAGTAACTCGGCCAGTTTCGAAGCATCATTCACGGCCCACACGAAAACCTCTGCAGTTCTGTAAATTATGCACACACCGTACTCACTCTGAAATTTATAATGCATCTCGCATCATGGACCGTATCTCCATCGAGAACCGTTGCAGGAGGACACAGACCCAGTCTGTATCCACTCTTGCATGAAATCCAGATTGGACACGCCAACTGGAAACAGACGAAGGCATATTTAGTTGCAGCCCACACCAATTCCATTCTCAGGGTTTACTTCGTCAGCCTCGGATTGGCCTCTGGCGCAAGACAAATTAGCGAGGCTGAAGTTATTTGGAAGTTATTTCTACTGCGGATCATCGCTTATCGTTGGCCGAAAGCGGACGAGTTTGGTCCTGCGTGGCGGTCACCTGACGCGTCTGCATCACGTGCGCAACTTCACCTGGTCTCGACACAAAATCGGGCCGACCGAATAAGACAGAGTGAATCTCCCCATAAACTCTTCACTGCCGCCGGACTTAACATTATATTAATCCTTCGAACGCGCAACGAACGCGACAAACGAGAAATGAGCCGCGGCCGGCAATTCCCGTGCCGAATCAAGCCGACGGCCATGACCTGTTAACCCTAATGCCACTTAGTCTCTTATAAACAGACGCTACAACAAATCCACTCGTACCTCGTGTGTTTTAATGCCGCTGCTGTTGACTCATGACCACGGTGTCTCAAGGACTTCTGACTTGAGCTTGCTTTTGACTCTGACGGTCTCCACATAAATACGAAGATGAAATACTAGGGCTATCGCTTTACTGCGGGAAACCCCGAGTTGCTCAGCGCGGCGCACCTCGGACCAGCCTCGCGAGCTTCAATCAAAATTAAGTTGGGGGTGGGACTGGGTAAGATCCTGCTTTCAGCAAGTCAGGTGAACTTTCTCACATCTATGTACTGCAACACAACGTGCTCGGCGCGTTTCGAGTCCGGAAGCACGGGCCTGAGGATGTGAGAGAGGAAACCCCCCTGCAAGGTGCGCCTAGGAACTGCGATTTGAACTCCAGCCCACGCATTGAAAGACGAATTGTACACGTCTCGTGCATCTCTTCTGCTGTGACTCCAGCAAGACTCCAGTGAAGTTTTTGTATCGCTTTGGTAAGTGGTCTGTCCATGGGCTCGCACTAGTCCCAGGTACAATAATTTCCTCCGGCTGAAGTCTAAGCAAAGCTACCCTCCCTGCGTCGTTCTCAGTTCCTTTCTCTTATATGTGGATCTTTTGGTCCGACTTTTCATCCCTCATCTCGCTGCCGGGTGGAGGCGCGCGTGTCCGTGGCTGAACACGGTGTGCGCTGCTTGAGACGCAGACGCAGACGTGTTCGCCTAACCTCAGATGTGCGGATGGGCAGCCAAGAGGCAGCGAGCTCTTCTCCTTGGCTTTTTTATTAGCCCGTTTTTTCTCCCCTTGTATTCCTGACGTGGGCTCCATACTCGCCCGCATATACATCCCGCATGCTTTCCTCGCAATCATGCGATTTTCAGACTCATCCCCGGTGGGGCATCTCATGAGGGCATAGCTTCGAGCCCTCAGCCGATCTAGTTGGCCTTGACTTAACTGGCGGACCCTCGAGGCTGGCAATGACTCGGTAGCAGACTGTCTGCATCTCCTTGTCGTTGTGAGCCTCAGATAGAATCGATAACTGGAGAAGCTGCTCGTTCGATTCGGGCCCGGGTCCAAGTTGACAGCTTTTTTTTTCATCTTCCTCTGTAGCTCTTATATCGGCCCTCGACCTAACTCATTGGCGGATGCAGATGGACCTAGACAGAGCGACACGATCTCCAAGGTAAGTATTACTGGATTTTTCGTTTGCCCAAAGTTTGACTCATCTCTTAGAACGCGTCAAAGTCGTAATTCGTCGATGCGATGGCCATGAGTTGAATTTTCCCAGATCTATGCAACGAGAAATCGCTGCTGATACTTACCGACTATCGGACGGTCCGCGTCTGCTTGGCGTTCGGTGTGAAGATGATAGTAACCGCAGACGTTGCCCGTTCAATTCGGGCCCGGTTCCTTCAAGGACAGAATAGTGTGTCTTTTTTTATAGCCTTCTTCTCTTGTTCTTATATCGCTTCGACCTAACTCACTGGCGGATGCAGAGAGATCACCCAAGGTAGGTCGTGCTGCATTCTTCATTCCTCAAAAGTTTGTCTCGCTTCGAGGGAGGAACCAGGGTACACATAACCGCAAGTCGGATTCCGCGGATATTCATCGGCGTGCAGAGATGAGGAGGAATTGATGTGCAAATCATGCAACGAGTTGAATTTCCTCCCCGTCTATGTGGTAAAATCGATGCTAATACCGTCTCCGTGGTGAACGGTTCACACCTAGTCTTGGTGAGTAACTACTACAGCAGAAGGTGCCCGTTCGACTCGGGCCCGGGTCATATCTTGACGAGAAATTTTTCTTCTTTTTCCAGCTCCCAAGTCCTCTGCTCTTGTATTACCTCCTCCAACACTGGCCTTTCGAGAAAGATTGACATCCGATGCATAGATTTGCGGGGAATTTTGGAAATCAACCAGTGAATTGAACATTGAACATTGAGTGTTGTGAATGCGTCCCTCGTTTATACTTATTGCGAATCAGGGTGAACTTACCCTGGCTGCGTATCACCCGTTCAACCAAAGTACGTTCCAAGCTCATACCGACTCGGTGGCGGACGGTCCGCATCTGCACTAGATTCTTGTATCTCTTCAACGTCTTCCGCAGAAGACGCCCGTTCGACTCGGCCTGGGTCACTGCAGCCCTCATGTAGCGTTCAAATTTTTCGCCTTCTTTTTTCTTCTTCAATTCAATCTTATTCAGGTGATGAGCGTTGGCCCTCTGACCCAAACCGATCGGCAAATAATCAACATGGGGCATTCACGAAGATGCATAGGAAATTTTGAACCAACTATATGTATCAAATCTCGACTTGATCAACCCACCGGGGTGGATTTGACTGGGAATGTTCCCAGAATCGGATGCAATGGAGTGCGCAGGGCACTGAATTCCGTGCTATCAATATACTCATACATGCCATCGATATACTTATATGCACCCACGCAGATACACACAAGAATTCGCAGCCTGGTGGTCCTCAACCTCAGAGAAGAACCGTCAAAGACTCAATGAGCCAATGACTAGTATCGGCCCGAAATTCCTTGTGGCTCCAATATCCAACCAGCAGGCTCCAAGAGCGTAGCTGAATTATCAAAGTTCGCTGTCCCTGCCCAAGACCACCACCCACCGGTTGTGCAGGCCGGAACTTGGACTGGGTATCAGGCCATCCATATCAATTGCACCTCGAGTAACTGGAGTAGAGCTTCCGCAGTGATAAGGGCGCTAGTGACAGGTCTTCACGACTTGCGTTCGATCGTGGGCTTGTCGTGGCCAGAGGCGCTCATGATTTCTTCGGTTATAGTTGAATCCCGCGGAGATCTTCGGTCCAGGGAAACGGGAATTGAGTTGGCTTGCCAGGCGTTGCGAAACGTGGATCTCAGAGTATAGCTTGAGCGCCTCGACATCGTCGCACTCACGCGGCAAGACACTGAAATTGACCCCTCGTCAAGTAACAGTGTCGATCTATCCGTGAATAAATAAATGATATATCTCAAGAAACGCTCGCCCACCTCCCACAGCGCCCTACTCCACATCCGCATCATCCCCGGCGCCCCCACCCGCCGCCCGATCCACAACCCGCGTCGGCATCCCCAGCCCACTCGGCCTCCGCCCCCCAACGCCCAGCCCCAGCATATACACCCCCGAGATCGTGCGCTGCCGCGGCGCCGCCGCCGCCTCGCCCTCCGCAGCCGGCACGTACGCCGGCATCGCGATGCGCAGCCCCAGCCCCTCAAGCGGGTTGCGCGGCTCGCGCTTCCCCAGGCGCGCCGTCGACGCCGAGTGCCGTAGCCGCGGCGACGTCATCACGCTCCCGAACGTCGGCGCGTCCGGCGGCGGTGTGCGCGGTGCTCCGCCCCCGCCGAGCCACGACGTCCACCCGCCCTCGTGGGAGGGCGACGGCGATTCGGCGGCAAGGGAGAGCGGGGGCTCCGCGGGCGGCGCGTACAGCACGCGCTTCACCACCGCGATGTCGTGCTCCACGTCCTCGAGCTTCCGCCGGAAGCCCTCCTGCGCCTGCGCGTCGCGCCGCACAAAGTCCGCTACTTCGCCCCGCAGCGCCGCCTCCCCGCCCCCGTCCCCGCTGCTCTCGTCGTCGTCGTCGCCGTCCGGCAGCCCGACGAGCGTCTCCCACCCGCGCGTGAGCACGCGCGCGTCGGCGACGCGGATCTCGAGCTCCACGCGCGCGTCCTCGGTGTAGTCGTTCAGGCGCGCGACGGCGCCGCGCAAGGCGGGGAGGGGCGCCGTGCGGAGGGCCTCGAGCGCCAGGTGGCAGTCGCGGAAGGCGCGCTGCAGTGCGTCGTAGCGCTGGCTCGCGGCAGCGAGGTCGGCGAGCAGCGGGTGCGTAAGCGTCGGGGCGGTTTCAGGGACATTCGCAGGGCCTCGGGCACGGTGGGAGTGGCGTCAGGTACGTGCGCGGGCGGTGGCTGGTCCGGAAAGGCGAGATCTGCGAGGGGCGGGCCGTAGCTTCGTCGGTGACGGAGACCGCGGGTGGTATAGATGCCACGTCGTCCGCGCTCGCCGCAGACGGAAAGGCGACCGCGTTGGGTATCAAGGCGTGGTGCTGTAGGGAGGCGCGGTGTCGTTTTCGCTGTCGTGCGCGCCCCGCGACTCCACCTGCGGCGCAGACGGGAAGACTAGCGCGTCTCCAGGGCGTCTTCCCCCGGCGGCTCCCTCCACCTCCCGCACCAGCACCCCATCTCCTCGGGCGCTTGAAGCCTCAGCCCCAGCCCTTCCTCAAGCTCACGCTCACGCTCGTTCTTCCCTTCCATCCCACCGTCTTCTTCCTCTTCCTCTTCCGCGCACGCACCCCCTCCTCTCCCTCGTCCCTTGCCTCCTCGTCCGCATCGTACTCGAGCAGCCGCCCGTCCGGGGGCAGCCGCGGCGAGGGCTGGTGCAGAAGGAGCTCCGGCTCGGCGTCGGCGTCTGTGTGCGGCTGGGGGTACGCGGCCGCGGCCGTGTCGACGGCGAGGGATGTGGGAGCGGGGGCGGGGGCGGGAATATCTGCGTGCGCCGCGGCGTCCGGCGGAGTGGTCATGTCGACGGCGAGGGAAGCGGGGCGGGGCGGGAATCTCTGCGTTCGGCAGAGCGCTCATGCCTGCGTGGCTGCGTGCGCGACGCAGCGGTCAGTCGACACCGGTGGTCATGTCGGCCGTGGCGAGGGAAGCAGGAACGCGGTGTCGACGAGCGCGCCCTCGCCCTCGCCCTCGCCCGTCCCAGCGTCCACGAACGCGCCTCCCCCCGCTCCCTCAACGCCCGCTCCAGCCCGACCCGCCGCCCCACCTCCCCCTCCAGCTCCCCCACCAGCATCTCCACCGCGCTCTCGAGAAGCACCATCCGCCCCTCGCTCCCCTTGCCCGGCTCCGCCGCCGCACCCGCGGCCCCAACCTGCGAATCGAGCCCCGCCAGCACCGCGCGCACGCCGCCCTCCAGCGCGCGCAGCTCCGCCTCCAGCGCCCTGCGCGCTCCTCCCGCCCACCGCCTCCCCCCCCCCGCCGCCGCGCCCCCAGCCTCGCCGTCCTGTCCTTCCCTGCGCCCCCGCCACCCCTCCACCCGCCCCAAAACGCCCCCCAGCGCCCGCACCACGCCCTCCTCCCGCCCCACGCCCCGCACCCGGAGCCCCACCTCCCGCCGCCGCCCGACCGTCTCCCGCACCAGCGCGCCGCCCGCCTCGTCCAGCGCCGCGCGCAGCCGCGCCGTCTCGCGCTCGGACGCCGTGAGGCGCGCGGCGCGCGCGGCGAGGGCGGCGTGCAGCGTGGCTTCGGTCGCGGCGTGCCGCGCGCGCAGGGCGGTGAGCGACAAGTGCAGGGAGGAGGTGGTTTGTTGGGTGAATTTCCTGCGGGGGGAGGGGGTTAGTGGTGTGCAGAAGCGGGGGGAGGGCGGGAAAGAGGGTGAACGGGGGAGCGCGTTGCCAGCGATAAAAAAACCAAGGAGAAAAGAAAGGGGAAGAAGTCGCCGAAACGGGAGGAAGGTTAAGCAAGACAAGACGAGCGCGGACCAAGCGCACTGCCCCCGACAGAGGTGTAGTCCTCGCGGACAATAAACGACGACACGGGCAGAGCAAGAGGAGCGTGGCTCCGGATCTCGCCTCCGACTCCTCCGCCGCAAACGCAAGTGCGCGCCTCTGCATCTCGACTTCGCCCGCAGACCCACCCGGGAAGACGAAAAGGAGCGAGAGAGGAAAACGCGCGGGGAAGGCGCCCCCACCGACAGCCACCGCGTGGAAGCCAGCCCAATATGCGCGCTCTGGGCGCCCCATTGCGCGTCCCCCAAAGCCCCTCGCTCGCAAGGGTGCATCCGCGCCGCGTACCAGGCGCCCGCGCCCCACCTGCACGGACCGACGCAGCGCAGCCGCGAGACGTCCCCGCGTCCCGCATGAGCCGCATTCCCGTCTGTGTCTGCGTCTGCGTCTGCGTGCGCGCCCGCGCCCCACCCGCAAGCCCGCAGCGCATCCGCGTCCCCGCGCCGTGCCGCGGATCTGCCAGAGAAGAACACGGAGGAGCACGACAGCAGAGAAGAATATCGGCGGGGCGTCCGGGGCGCTGGGTCTCCGCGGCTCGCGCAGGAGCGAGTCGGGCG